TTCAAAGTGAAAAGCACAAAAAGAAACGCGTTATCACGTTTTAAAAGCACATTTAAAACCAATTTTTAGGAGAGAGCTCGGGCACGTCCGTTCACCTCGAAGTCATCCCCAGACCCCCCCGCAATGGAGATTTAATTGTCCATTCAGAGAATTCAAAAGAATTATTCACACGGCCATCAACTTTCTTTACAACAAAGGCATCTCGATACAAAAAGCCAGTACCTTCACCACGTCAGGCAACGCGTGAATGGTCAAGGAACTTGTAACCTTAAGGGCAAAGTTTAACTCTTACTGCCGTATCGTTGGATTGGAGCCAGGTCACTGTAATTGCAATAATATCAAACTTGTGATCACATACATGGTCCATTATGTCAGCACTCTTATTCTTGATTGAGCGAGCATTTAAAACACATAATGAAAAATGCTGGTTATTAGAGTGTCATGGATTTTTTACTTATCTTGCATATTTTGATGACGAAATCGAGCTTGACGTTGGACCAGGGTTCAATTTGAATACCAAGTCGCCTTCCAACAATAGGTGGAGTGTAGCAACTGAATTCGAATAATATTTGCACGGGCGCTTGTGATATCAATAGCTATTAACAAACTCTGGTACCTGCCTTGTTACGTTAGATATAAACTTGTGTATTCAGTGGGATGAATTATCACTGTCAGGAGGAACAGGAGCAAAAACACGGATATCGTTTGACTGTGGCTGTTCCACGTGGCTTGCTTCTTGACTCCTCTGAGGTCGATCTGTCCAGAGCTTACAGAGAAAATTATCTTAGTTTTAGTTTGTTTTGGTACTTTCCGAAGTCAATATGGCGGTCAGCGCACTTGCCCGGAATTTAAATCAATGAAATTACGCACGATCACGTTCTGAAATTATCAAACAGTTAAACAAACAGGCAATATATATATATATACCACAAACCTCGCAGGCGGACATCAAAGTAGATAATAATAACCCAAATTATGCAGGTATTGACCTTCTCTTTGTTAGCCACTAATGGCGTCCTTCGCTAGACTGAGCAAACCAAGCGAAGTGCTTCTTATCTTCTGGCAGTGATCGATCGACGACGGCATGCAATCGAAAACAATGGAGTCCCCCTCCTTCCTGGGCCATTGGCTGTAATTCGCAAATTAAAACCAAAATACTAAATAGTGAAATAATAGTATTTCAGTGGTTTGACATATAATATGATGTGACACACGGTTTTCGCCGAAACTGTGACCCCCAAATTTTTTTCCGATGTGATTCCTTGGTATTGCACGCGGCATCCTCTACTACGCATAAAAATCACGTAGTCAAGCGAATAAGCGGGCACGCATTCCGAGAACACCGTATTTTTTTCAATCAATGGACCAGATAGAGGAAAACAATTCTCTTTAGCTCTTGAACTAGAACGGTGACCTATACTTTCTTACGTAATTTTGGTGTACCATTTATCCCCTTTGAATTGGGGAAATTGAAAAAAAAATAAATAAAGTTAAAAGCGCGCACGAACCCCGTTACTCGAGGATGCAAATTATGACCTCGAAAGGAACGACACGAAGAACGTTTTGAGTCGATGTCGTTTAAATTTGCTTTTTTTCTATCAGTGTTTGGAAATATACGTTCAATTTTTATATTTCTGTTGAAGTTCAGTTTTCCTGTCTCAAAAAAAGTCAGAACATGGTCTTTTGTTTTTTAAAGCTTCTGTGACAATGAAAAGGTAAACAAACGATCTAGATCTTTCTCTTCCGCCTTCCGTTTGCCTTTCGATAATTTTGTGTTTATCCCAGCTCTAATATTTTGAGCTAATTATCTGACACTTCAGCTTACTCTTTAGTAAACAGGTTAAAGTAAACGAGCGAACGGGCAGAAGATAAACAATTAGCACTTGATATTTTTGATCATCTGGACACGCACATTCTTAAAAGAGCTAATTAAAACCCTCAAAACGTCCATCGAGAAATCAAAGCTCTACACTGAACTTTTGAGAGGTTAAATGAGATTTTGTCGGAAGATTCGATCGCAGTAATTATAAGTACTCAAAACAGTTATATCCGCGCGAACTGGATTGACTGTAGAATGTATACAGTCCTAATATGTAAAAGCTGTGATGAAACTAAACGGCGCAGTTTTCAACACAGTCCACGATCACTTCTTGACCCTCTTTCCTGTCAAACTCGTTCACCTCGTTTTCAGCCATATTTTGAAGCCTAAGGTCTCTGAGGTTGCACCTCAGAAAAAGGTTTACGTCAAAAGTGATAGCACGCGCAGAAAATGAAAATTCACGAACTGAGACCAGGCAACAAATACCAAATCCGAAAAACCGTAAGTTTTTCTTCAGTAATTTTAAAACTAAATTCAAAAAAAGGAAAAACCGCAAACCTATAGACACCAAAACCGAAAAACTGAATATTTTCAGCGCAAAAAAACGATGTTGACTGATTCGTCTACCAGTTCATATCGGAGGGCGCTGAGAGTGAAAATGTTTCGATTATTCTTTGTGTTGGCTCTTGCTTTTTTGTTGAGTTTGTTTGCAAAATCACAGAACAAATCTACGAACCAGGTAATCAAATTGATAACCCCAGCTTGAGAGAATTGTATTCGAATCGGCATTCGAGTGAGAGTGAGAATTTTTGTGCTTTGTTCGAGCGCGTAATTCCCAAGAACCCCCTTGATTTCATAACTTTTGTTTGCACTGTTCATTTTTACTTAAAAAATTTCAGCAGAATTATGGAAAAGCGACAAAACCAAACTGCTGTGCTTCAAAGCTGGATATTGTAAAGATGGTGAGTAAAACTTTGAACAAAAATCTCATCTTTTTCAGTACATTGATGATTACCTAGTAATAATAATAATAAAAATACTTCAGTACCCGTAACACGCATATATTTATTTACATCTGCTCATATGGGCGAGAAAGAAAGAAATTCGAGTTTCTTCGCTGATGTTTGGTTTCTGTTAATTTCTGGTGAGTGTTACTTTATGGTTCATTCATAGATTTATTGACTTAAAATAAATAGCTTTTCACCATAAAGATAAACTGTTTATTTTCCTACCTAACAAAAGGAAATCGATTTGCTTTTTATGCAGGAAAAGATGGACGCGATGGAATAAACGGTGATGTAGTTATTCATCCAAAGTGAATTTTTTATTTAGATGGGAAATATTTTCCACACGAATTCCTTCACAAACAAAGGTGGTAGGGACGATTTGTTATTAATTTTCTGCAGGGGGGGGGAGAGGACTATAGGGGGATCACATGGTTTTAAAGGGGTACAGATAGGCGATCATTCATCGCCAACAGACTGGTAAGGGAGGACTATAGCAAAATAACTGCCAATTAGCTGCCAATGGGGGTAGGGGTGGGGACTCATGAGACTATTACAGAGCCTTGGGGGAGGATCAGGTAAATTTTATCGTGACACCAGCAAAATCCTCTGGCTGACTCACTGATTGGTCCCTCATGAGAATTAAGGGAGAAAAAGAAACGAAAACCTAGTAAAGTGATGATTACTTGTGTCAATTTAATATTACAACGAGGTTGAATGGCTGAAAATTACTGTCAATAATAGATACCTCGGGAAACGAAGGTGTAACATGTGAAACCATTTACAAAGTTGAAACAAAAGAAGTATTATGTCGAAGATGTGATTGTCTAAGGCGTGACTTTTGTTGCTGTTTTCGTTTATCTGTGTTTTCACAATTTGAACTGATCGCCAATATTTTCAACAAAGGACGAGATGGACGCGATGGGACGGTTGGAGCAAAGGTTATGTATTTTTAAACCGATAATTAAAAAAAAAAAGACTTTGAAACGGACTTGAGAATACAGATGTGTTGAACTGTTTATGACGTACCTCTTCTTGTTAGTGGTGTACTCATAAGTACATCAATCAAACTGTTGTCATGGTTATCGAGAGATTATTTCGATTAATTTTTAATTATCCAGGGAGCAAAAGGTGAACTAGGCATACACGGTGTGAATGTAAATGCTAGCTTCAAGGTTGGTAAAATTTATATTTGGCATATTTAATTTAAGGATATAATAATCTTTTTACTGTCAAATGCTGCCTAATTTTTCTTTGGCTTTGATCTGATTGACACTTCAACTGTTACCAAGTATTTGGTTGGAATGTTTAAATCTTGATTACTGTAGGTATCCCAGCCATGAAGATTCAGTTATAGAGTTTGATTTTTGCAAAGAGGAACATTTCATTATTTTGAACTGCAAGAGTTCTCTTGCTTCTAAATTTCCCCGTATTGGAGATTTATCTGAATTGACACTGTCAATGAATACAATGAAGTATGTTGCTAATACATAAAGGGAAAGAATTGTAGTCCTAGTTCCAAAGTTAGTTCACTGAATCATTCAGTTAAACTAGGACCTGGAAAAAAAACTGCGATAATAGTAGGACCAGAAACCCCTGGTAGGACCTGGTAGGAATTGGTCATTATTCAGCAAGGGGGAAGTCTTCTAAAGAAAGTTTCATAGGGTGTTATGGAAAATTCTTTCCTCGAACACAGCTTAAAAGATAAACTTGAATAGCGAAACGAGTTCTCCCCTTGAATTCCGTGCTATACAACCTTTTTTAAGCTTGCTTTTTCATCGAGGACGAGAAGGGATCTGTTGGAGAGAAAGGATCACAAGGACTAAAGGGACAGAAAGGAATACCGGGAACATGTGATGACCTGGTATGGAGGGATGTAATGGATAGAAATCATCAATTAAAAGTGTAACAGCCCTAGAGTGCTCCTAAAGTAATGACATATTATAACTAGCAATTTGTTACCTTTTTCTTTTATTACTATTACTTATCCTTTTTTTTCAGTTATTCTGTGATGTCCTTCGGCATACACAAGCATGAAACGATAATGATAACGAGATTTTTAACGATTCTTTGCAGAGCTCCTGGTCATCCTATGGGAAAAGTGGGTGTTGCAAAGTCGGTAGGAATAATTTTTCACTTGTTTTTGTCGTCAAAATAAGTGAGTGAGTGAGTGAGTGAGTGAGTGAGTGAGTGAGTGAGTGAATTCCGATCTTGATCCAATTCTTACTCGATGTTCACTGTGCTACATATTCTTTGTTCCGGAGTACTAGAGAAGACGATAAACATCTTAAAATGATTTCAGGATGGCACATGGAAAAACAAAGCTTTTCTTCGCAAAAATTTTCATAAGGTGTGATCGGCGCATGGTGAAAACTTACAGAAAAATAACAACTTGCACAATGCAATGAGTTCGACTCATTGCATTGTGCAAGTTCACATGTCATGTCATGTGATCTCTTGAAAATGGCATCAAAAAATGATCAGATAATTATTGATCTTTTAACAATCATTAGTTACTTTTATTACTCTAACTAGCATGTTTCTTACTTGAACAGTTTGTCAAACTACAGTCTCTCCAAACTTACGGGGCATATGGCGTAAAGTCTGTTAACATCAATGGTCACACATTCCTCGCTTTTCCCTACTACTTCTCTGGGAGTTCCTATAACACTGACTCGTTTATTTATAAATGGGGTAGTAGCAAGTTCTTTCTTTTCCAGTCCGTTCCAGTCCAGTCCATTACGTGGTACCCATTCGTGATCAACGGTCAAACCTCCTTTTTTTTTAACCTTTAACTTACTTGGATATGGCTAATTACTACGACAGCAGCCAAAAACACAACACTCTTTTAGCTATGTACCAGGCCTCCAGGGCAACAATTAACCAAGTATTATGAGATTTCCACTTGTGAAACACATGACATGACATCATTTGAGTAGAGTATAAACGGGCGGTAGCAAACTGCTACGGTCAGAAGAATAACATAAACAACAATTTGTGCGAATGGGTGTAGAAATAGGGACAAAAGACGAAAAGCGTAATGACCAAGAGTCCAAGCTGCTTATGTGTAGCGGTAATAACTCTTTATCTGAGCACAATAGCCTTTGCTCAGAAATCGCAAAACATTCAGTTTTTGGGATTTTTTGAGATCATTAATCTGTTTGATAACTGTGTGTCCTATCAGTCTTGTTTGGAATGAAATTTATTAATAAAGTTGTGCATCGGACATAATACTCCAATCTGTTATATTTCGAGTAAAAAGAGCTTTTACTTTTATATAAAGAAGGTGATCAGAAGAACAGTAATATTAAACACGTTTAATATTCTTCACTTGAGTGATGTGTGTTGCGTTTTATCACTGACATCCCACACCCCAGTAAAATATTCACAAAGACCAAAAGACAAAATCAAAGCGAGAACCCGTTGTTAAAACGCACCAGGTATGATATATCTTTATTTTTTTTTCTAATGGTAGCTACTTCTCAGAAGAAAAGTGAAAAAAAATCTTCAGAATTCAAAATTTCAGGCAGCTCATAACATCTTTTATAAAACCGAAAAAGTAACAGATAAGTACTGGATAAGATTATGACAAGGCGCAAACTATGCCAGGTTTTACACTGTAGAACAGGACAAAACTTCAGAGTAACAAAATGGCCGCTCTTTACGATCCAAACTTTGAGTTTTGTCAATGATTCTTTTTTTTTAGGCTTGACTTCTAAAGAAACGAACTTATTAGCGTGGCAGACATTTTTGTTGGTCTCAAAGAACACTTTAACTGTTTCGTCTTCCGCGTACTCCTAACGTGATCGATACGATGTAGAGATAAGTCGTCGAGGCGCACGAATTCAATGACTTTCAACATGGCGGGTAAATTTGTAATTTGTTACCTTCTGCGAAATTTGGAAATTTCAACGATTTGTATGATTTGATTACTAAATCTTAAAAATGTTCGGTTAGAAATGTTTTCCCGGAGCTCTCGGAGGGATTCGGAAATTTCCATATCATATAGTGGGAAGTTCGACTGGTAACACATAATTATGCGTGTTGTTCTCAAAGTTTTAAGCCTTCAGTGCTTATGGTTGGTCTCATCAATCCTTTCAAAGTCCATAGTTGGGCTGATGAGGCACGTGGACCAGAAAACTCAACGTTGATGGTTTTCATCAGGAATTAACAAGGCTAAGTTTTCAACATATATTTGTCTTTCTTTCATTAGTTGTAATTGGTTTTAGCGTAAGAAATACCGTTATTCAAGACAAATACCGTTTTTTTCCAATAATAGACAAGTCTGGCAATCACCAATTTATAAAACAAACAGTGTATAAACACATCTTTCGGTGATCATCAAATTACGACACAAGCCAGCGCACCCATCCACACTTTTTATCACCAATTCACAAACTTGCTATCAGCAATCTAAAGCTGATTAGGGAATTAAAAAACTGCTTCGAAGAAAAAAAAACATGAAGCTTAAAGCGTGCTCAAAGTCCATTGCTCAAGGATGCAAATTATGACCTTGAAAGGAACGACTCGAAGAATATTTTGAGCCGATGTCGTTTAAATTTGCGAGATATTTCCACAAATTATACATCAAATTACTCCATACGCTCGAGACTTTCTACCTATCAAGTTTATCTCAAGTGTTACTTTAAAAACCTTGCTTTCAGCAGTAGAAAAATGTACCGTGAACCAATGAAGCTACGCGCGTGATAAGTGCCAGTACAGGCATAAATGGGACAAGTTTTACCATCATATCTACTAAACAAGCACAGTGACTGTGTTTGTAGTCGTCAAAAGTTTATTCCTTGCTTACTTATGTGCTTGGAAATATCCGTTGAATTTTAATTTTCTGTTGAAGTTCAGTCTCCCTGCCTCAAAGAAAGTATCAAAACATGGCCTTTCGTTTTTAGCACCTCCGTGGCGATGAAAAGGTAAACGAACGATCCAGATCTTTCTCTTCCGCCAGTTCGCCTGTCGACAATAATTGACCATCCCAGCTCTAATATTTTGAGCCAATTATCTGACACTTCAGCTTACTATTTAGTAAAAAGGTTTAAGTAAACGAGCGAACGGGCAGTAGACAACAATAAGCACTTGATATTTGTGATCATCTGGACACACACATTCCTAAAAAGCTATAGCCCTTAAAACGTCCATCGAGAAATCAGAACTTTACATTGAACTTTTGAGAGGTTAGATGAGATTTTATTGGAAGATTTGATCGCAGTAATTATAAGTACTCAAAACAGTTATTTCCACGCGACCTGAAATGACTGTAGAATGTATGCAGTCCTAACACGTAAAAGCTGTGATGAAACTAAAAGGCGCAGTTTACAACACAGTCCACGATCACTTCTTGACCCTCTTCTCTGACAGACTCTTGTTTTCAGCCATGTTTCGAGGCCTGAGGTCTCTGAGGTTGCTCCTAAGCAAAAGGTTTAAGTCTAAAGTGACAACGCGCACAGAAAATGAAAATTCACGAACTGAGACCGGGCAACAAATATCAAAGCCGAAAGTTTTTCTTCAGTAATTCGAAAACTAAATGCCAAAAAAGGAAAAACCGCAAACGTATAGGTAACAGCTTGCAACGTCTACAAAACAGGGCAGCACACATAATACTAAGGAAGGCAACGACCGAAGAAGCGTTCAAAATGTTAGAGTGGGTCGATTTGGAAACACAAAGAAAAGCCCACAAATACATCTCAGTTTTTAAATGTCTAAATGACTTGGTTCCTCCATATTTATCGAATTATTTCATTAGAAATCACACTTACGCGATAAGACAAAGGAATGACATCCACCTACCGAACCCAAAGTTAACGTTAGGGAAAAATACATTCAGATTTTCAGGCGCGGTTCTTTTTAATGACTTACCCACACTAGTAAAAGAAGCCACGTCACTTTCCATTTTTAAGCACTCTCTTGGCTTTCATTTTAGTCATTAGTTTTCTATTAATATAATACTTGGACATACTTTAATTGATTTTTTTTTATTGCATTGATCTAGAAAAGTTGTACTTCATAGATATGTGATTTCCTTTCACTCAAATTTTTTAAAACCCCTTGTACATAATTTTAAGGTAATTCGTAAATTTTAAAATTTTTATCTTGTAGTCTTAATTGTGACGATACGTTTTCGCGCACTAAACTGTACTTCGTGGGAAACGTACAAAACGGGGGGAAATTAACTCGGTAGAGACCACTCGACTGGCGAGAACGGAAACTCGTCACGATTTCCTGGCACACGGAGATCTGCTTCGAGCGAGCTTTTACGGACGTCAAGGATGACAAAATCTTTTTTGGTTCCACAGCAGACTTTATTCGTAGAGCACTCTAACACACATCATGCCAGAGTCAGAACTAAACTTGTAATCGTCACGCGGTCGTCTGTGTAATTGGCACGCCGTCGTGTATGTAATCGGCACGCCGTCATTCGTGTATGTAATCGGCACGCCGTCATGTATGTAATCGAAAAAGCTTTACAAAGTACTTGCTTAACTATGAACTGGTGTGAGGTTCCATTGTTCTCTTAATCTACCATATTTGAACAGCATAACAAAAGAAGCCGGAAAGGTCTCTTTGAAGTTAAACGAAAACTACTTAAATATTCTAGATGTCTCTACGACGAAAAGAATCTCAAAATTAAAAAGACGGATGCAATAAATTCGAGGCCATTAAAAATTGGAAATTTGGGTGAGAATTCACAGCTCTGATACAGAAATATACCTATCTTAATTACAGTAGAGCAGCTTAGGAAATAAAAGTGTAAAAGTAATTAAAGGTTTCTGCTTATCTGTGCAAGGTGGGTTTGGAAACCTATCGTAAGAAAAGAAATTAAAATTACGAGTATAAATTCAGCTG